ACTTTTCAGTTCTGTTTTTTGACCTTGGCTGGAATCTGAAAAAGCAAAAGATAATAAGTTGGAAGATTAGCTAGTGAGACCTTGATTAAGGTGAGCCTTCCCCCTTTTGAGAGGTAACCCTTCTTCTACATGGCCAATCTCTTTTCACAATTTTCCACCACCAAATAAGAAATGAGAAAGTTCTCCAATTTACATCCTAGAATCTCCTTAAAACTGTGAATCAAGCTTTCACTTGTATTTATTCCCGCAGTATTGCTCTCAAAATAGTTTACTTTAAGGCTCGTGACCAAGGTTCAAAATATCATTACATATCGGCTGATACGTATCGTATCGGGGCCTTCCCGATACTCTCCTACAGGGGGTGTATCAGGTCAGGCCATGGTTCAGAGGGTAGCTGGGACTTAAACAAACCCCTCTGAACCGGTTTTGAAAATAAATAAATAAAACACAAAAAAAAGCACCGATACAGGCCGATACACCCTGCCGGAGTATCAGCTATATCGATATTTAGAACCTTGCTCGTGACCATTTCAAAACAAGTGATTACCTTCTTTAAATTATTGATGTTCTCCAGATTTGCCTCCAAGAACAAGATATCGTCAGCAAAAAGCAAATGAGACAAATGAGCAGCTTCCCTTCCAACTTCAAACTCTCTTTAACAAACCAAGACTTTTTGCCTTCTCAATGAAATAGCTGAGGATGTCTACAACCAAAGTGAAGAGAAAGGGGGAAAGGGGATAGCCTTGTCTTAGACCCCGACCCACTTGAGAATAACCTTGAGGCTCTCCATTTACCAACATTGAGAATCACACAGAATTGAAGCACCCTTTCATCCAACACACCTCTGCTTCCAAATCTTCTTAACACTCCAAGATATTTTGAACACAATCCGATTCGACTTTATCATAAGCTTTCTCCAAATCAAGTTTTATGACCACTTCAGGCTTGCCTCTTTGTCTTCTATATTCTACACATTCATTGGCCACTAAAATGCTATCAATGATCTGTCTACCTTTTACAAAAGCATATTGGTTGCTAGGAATTAAATCTCCCAACTCCTCCCTTAACCTACCTGCCAGAACTTTAGCCACAATTTTGTAAATGCTTCCAACTAGACTAATTGACCTAAAGTCCTTCACTTTCAGGATGCCTTCTTTCTTGGGAATTAAGGTAATGAAGGTTGAATTGTTGCCTTTATTTATAATGGCTGAATTAAAAAAGTCTATGAACACTTCCAACAAGTCCAACTTTAAGATATCCCAACATACTTGGTAGAAACACAAAGGGAAGCCATCCGGCCCAAGAGCCCTGTCTCCATCCATACTAAAGACCACCTCTTTGACTTATTGTTCATCAAATTCCCTTTCCTTCCATTCCTGCTTCTCCAATAGACAACCACCTCCCTAGTTAACCAAAGAAAAGGATCTGTTGTTGCTCTTGGTGTACAAATCCTTAAAGAAGGAAAGGAACTTCTCCACAATCTCCTCTTGATCTTCCACCTCTCTTTGATCCACCTCCAATTTTGAGATGTAATTTTTTCGTCTTCCTGCAACATAACTATTAAAGAATCCAGTATTATTGTCTCCCTCCTTCAACCACTTTACAATAGATCTTTGCCTCCAATACACTCCTCCCTCCTAATTTCTCACTCAAATAGCTTTTAATAACTTCCTGTCCACCATTTCCTTTTTAGTTTCCTGAGGATGATGATGTCTGGGTTTTCCCTCTTAACGGTGGCTTTTCCCTCTCTAAATAAGTGGAGAAATTCTGTCTCGTCTAGGACAGCATTGATAAACAGCTTGATCTTCTTCAGCCTTTTCTCACACAGGTACTCATTTTGCTAACGTTTCAACTCCACTATTGGCACCCTTGTACTCATTAATTTAGGTGCTTCTAATGCTAGGAATAAGAGTAGCGATATGAACAATTGAACATTATGAATGATATTATAATAAAGCTTCCTTGTCTTTTTTGTCACCTAGGCAGGTGCCTTGTTGCTATAAACGAGGTGTTTAGGTGAGATGCCCAGCCAAGGGAACCTAGGTGATGCCTTGACAAATATTATGTATAGAGTAAGAGAGTCTAAGAAAGGAGAAAAATAGAGAACAAAGAACAAAGGGAGAAATTTTTGCATGAATGAGTTGGCTTATGCCTACTCTTTCCATTGATATTTATATGAGAATGAGTTGACTCACATCCAGCATACTCAACTTGCTAAGAATGTCTACAAACCTGGCCTTGAGAAAAGCTTGGGTAAGAAAATTAGCAAACTGCTCTTAAGTCTTCACATAAGGCAAATTTCTTGGCTGTCCACTTTCTCATGTATAAAACGCTAGCCTACCTCCATGTGCTTGGCACAGTCATGCTCATCATCATCATCATCATCATCATCATCTAAGCCTTATCCGAACTATATGGGGTTGGCTCCTTGAATCCTGTTTTGTAACTCCATTCTGTTTAATGTCATATCCACTGCTAAGTTATCAGTGCTTAAATCATTTCTTACTACTTCAGCCCATGTCCTTTTCTAATGGATACTGTGGTGGTCTTTTATGCATGTGGCCAAACCATCTAAATCTACTTTCTCTCATTTTATCACTGTTGGAGCAATGGAGCTACTCTTAAGTTCCATCTAATGACTTCATTGTTGATCCTATCCTTCCAGTTTTTCCATTCATCCATCTTTCTATACAGTATACACATTTCTGCCACACTCTTTTTTTGGACATGTTTCCTTACAAATATTTTATAGAATTTTCCTTTTAATCTAAAGCAGTATTCACCTATCACATACTCCAGATGCACTCTTCCATTTTGCTCGTTCTACACCAAGTCCACGGGTGACATCCTCCTCAAGCTCTCCCTTGTTATGAATTATTGAACCGAAGTAGTGGCAAAGATCACATTGAGTTGTCTCTTGGTCTCCAGTCCTAAGTGTACCCTAAGCCTGGTGTAATCATGCCAGATAGGATTATGAGCAATATCTGTTACAGTCTTATTATCACAATACAGTCTCATAGACTAATCAACATCAACTCCCAAACCAATTAAGACAGGTAACATGTTCTACCCATAATAATTCAGAAATACTATGCGTCACCATCAGCCAATGTTTTGAGTGGCAAGGGGATCAGAGAGTCTGGTGTCCTAGGTTCAGGAGATCTTTGCTAGAGGGAGAGTTGGAGGAATGCATTTATTTGCTGGAAAAACTGGAAGGCATTAAGGTTACAGACCATTCAAGAGATGAGCTGTGGTGGAATGAGTGTTTTAATGGCAAATACACAGTCAAATCATGCTATTTAGCTTTGTGTAAAGATTATCTGGAGCTTGATCAGAGTGCAGGTATCTGGGATAACCCAGTGCCCCCTAGGGTGGAAGCTTTAGCTTGGCTTATTTCTATGGATAGTGTACTCACTGCAGATCACCTTAAGAGCAGAGTTTTCTGTCTTGCTAGTAGGTACCACTTATGCAGAGAGCAAGAGGAATCTGTGCGTCACCTGTTCATCCATTGTAAGGTGACTGCTTTCATCTAGAAGCTGTTTTCTGCATTATTTAGGGTGAGATATATCCAACCTGGTTCCCCTGCTCAGTTCTTTTCTTTGTATCCAAAATTCAGAGGTGGTAAAAAGGCTAAGCTGCATTGGTCCTGCATTCCTTTTGTGGTTTGCTGGTGCGTATGGAAGGAAAGGAACAGGAGATGTTTTGAAGACAGATGCTGGAGTTTGAAGAAATTAGTGGCAGCTGTTGGCAAAGTTTCTGCTGACTGGGTGCTGGTTCACCCTGAATTTTCTCAGATAAAAAAAGGAGATTTAGAGGAAAGGTTTTGGGAGGTGCCAGAATTACAAGCCTGTGACTTTTATAGTTATTTTTGTTGATGTTTGTTGTTCCATTAGTTTTTTCTTTTCCAAGTATATGGGTGGGTGCTGCCTTGACGCCCTATCTAGATGCACCTGTTTTTTGCTTTCATTAATAAAATCTTCCTCTTTTACTTATCAAAAAAAAAAAATCTCTACATTTAGCCTTGGCACTAGACCTGGTCACCACAGATTTCTTCTTACCCATATAACTAGAATCTCTCCAACTACAGTACAATATCCTGAGGTAAATCTTCTATCATCTATTGAACACCCAACTGGCATTTCTATATGCATCTACTTGAAAATAGCCATAATTAGCAAATAATTGGCCTTAACCTGAAATAGCCTTCAAGTAGTGAAGTATCCTTTTAGTTAGGGATGGCAACAGGGCAGGTTTGGGGAGGGTTTTGTAAATTCTAGACTCTACCCATCTCCCTAAACCTCCCAACCCGTACCCTCCCCCAAACCAATAGTGGGTTGGATTTCCAAAACCCCAACCCTCCCCACACATGAAAATGCAAAACCCTCCCTGACCCTACCCTCATTTGAGGGTGGACGGGTTGGGTTGGCAGGCTTGTTCTAGAACCTGCATCTAATTTCCTTTTATTTTCTGTTATATATGAGCAATAAACAAATAAAATAACATGAACAAACATCAAATTTTCCAATTAGTTGATTAAAACATGTAGAAAACAAATAAACTATCAATTATCCTTCACATAAAATTCAAAATATTTATTAAACTCAACACCTTATACATTAGTACATATGCCTATGCGGGTTGGGGAAGGTTGGGCTTAGCTAATACTGTACCCTACCCGTACCCGTATGGGTTGTAAAATCCCAAAAGGCAGGTACCCACCAGGTAGGGTAGGTGATCTTTTCCAGTATCCTACCCCGTGGGTACCCCACCCATTGTTAATAGTACTCTCAATATGCAAAATTTCAATATTGAGAGTTTTTAACAGCTGTCTTATCACATCATCTTTTATCATAAAAATATTGAAATCTAACAACTCCCCTAAAATATCATATCATATTGATGGCCCCAACTCCCAAGATACAATAATATGATATGCCTGATATTGTATCAATACTTCGAACCTTGAGTTTACTTAATCTCTATGGCTCTTGGATGATTAGGACGATTGAAGTTCATGCATAAAAGGCCACCAACTGCGCCAGTTAGAAGAAGTAATTTGTTACACATTGAAGGGGCTAGAAGAGCTCGGGGTAGATCAAAAAGGATATGGTAGAAGTAGTAAGAAATGATTTAAGCATTAATAATATAACAGTGGACATGGATTTAAATAGAATGGATTGGCAAAGCAGGATTCGTGTAGCCTACCCCATATAGTTGGGATAAGACATGGATGATGATGATGATGCTGATGATATTCGTGCTGTGTGCCTTTTCCTTAAAGCTGCTGCAGCACCTTCTGATTCTTTGCCAATTCTGTAGGTATGGTGGCACTTTTTCAAGCTGTTTAATCAACCCTGGGTTATTCCTGGTGACCTTTTAAGTTTAATAAATGCTTATCGGACTACAGTTACTGGATAAAGGAATGGTTTCTTTGGAATTTACTCCTCTATATATGCCGTTTTTTGGAGTATTTGGAGAGAGAGAGAGAGAGATTGCTCTCTTTGAAGGGAAGAGTTATAATGTCCATGTTGTAACTGGGGTAATTGAATGAACCATCTTTTCTTGGACATCCATTTTATAGGAGTTAGAATGGACCCAATTTTCAGACTTTGTAATGGGTGGGAATTCAATTGCTTTTGGCTCTTAGATAGTCCTGTATTTGTATTTGGGGCTCGGTTTTTCTTCTATTACATTGTAGTTTTGTCTTGAGCCGTTTCTTCCTTTTATTTTACCTGATAAAATCTTATAGAAATAAAATATATTTGTTCTGATTTGCTGCACAGGAAGCACCTTGTGGGGATTTAACTACTCACCTGTTCTGCCACCTGTGTGCGATCTGTCAAGAATATAGGGAGATCCGTGACAAATCAGGAAATTCTAATCAATCCGATCTTAAACTTGCGGTTGTGACTGCCCCACCTGTACAGACAATGGGGTCGGGTTCAGAGAAATGATGCTGCACATTTATTTATAGGTTAAGGTTCCTTCCCAAATTCTTGCCAGATTCTCTCTCTCTAGCTTTTCCTGTGAGCGTATGTATACTTGTATCAATTATATTAGAGGTCATGATTTTATTTTACTTTGTTTATTTCGTGCGTATTATTAGTTCGTTGCACCGAGTCGTTTCTATGAAACATTTTGGATTTACACGTACAGAATCAGGTTCAGTTTTATGGGAAATATAATGTTATTTTGAAAGTTTCTACTTGATTTAAGTTCCATGGATCTAGACTCCTAATTGGGCAAGTATTTATAATTTTATATTTCTACCAACTATGGATAACTACATTTGTATTTTAGTGTTGCTTACACTCACATGGATGACCCACCATTTGGTGATCATGTGCATTTAATTTGCTGTTTTATTGTTTTCGTCTTGGTTATCTTATGATCATTTTCTTTGAACTTCGCCTCTTAAGTCTTATCAACTGGCGAAAATTGTGTCCCTGGGATGAAGAATACCTTGGTTGTCCAATAATTCCCATGGAATGCTTTAGGTATTCCATAACGCTATGTTTGATTTGAGAGAACGAGGCATGAAAAGAAAAGGTTCAAAACATCAACGTGCACAATATGTATTGCATATTATACAATTCAAGAGGTGGGCGACAAGTCATAACTCCTACGAGAATGAGAGAGCGAAATGGAACTGAAACAGAAGAGAAGCTACCTGCAATCCGACACGGAGCAATGTGCCAAGGAAGTGGGGAATTAGACTCCAACATAGGGATGGCAATTTTTACCCAACCCGGTGGGTACCCGCTCCTCTGATGGGGTGGGTTTTTTTGCTTGAAGGATGGGTTTTGGGGCAGAGATAGGTTTTGGAAGTCTACAACTTATACAGGTATGGTATTAGGCTAAACCCGGCCCTCCCCGACCCGTATATTGTTGGAAAGCATATAAACTTTATGTATTGGAAATTATGTTGTTTATTTGTGTTATTTTACTTTTTTTTTCTTCGGGGCTACTCAACAGGGGTAGCTCATTCCCTTTCCCTTAACCCTCCCCAACCACTGTTTGTGTTATTTTACTTATTTATTGCTTACATATGACAAGAAATAATGTGGGCTTCAAACCCAATCCACACCCCTACCCTTGAAAGTAGGGAGGGTTTAGATTCTCAAAATCCAACCTGCTACAGTTTTGGGGTGGGTATGGGTTGGGAGGTTTAGGGAGGCAGATAAGGTTTAGAATTTACAAAACCCTCCCCAAACCTGTTCCATTGTCATCCCTATCCAACAAGAACTAGATAATACCCATAACATCTCCTTCATTGATGAGGCCTTTAAAATTATGTGAGAAGGGCAAAAAAAGAGCCTCCTGAAAAGCTAAAGCATTAGTGGCAGTTGGCGAAGTAGGTTCACTTTAGGTAAAAACATCAGTTGCTTGATCCATCACTCTCTTGAACTCCCTGAGTTGCATGAGCAAAAGTGAGGGGAAAAGTCAGCTTTCTATCGAAAATAAGGCGGTTACGAGCCTTCCAAATGTGCCATAAAACCAAAGAGATCGGCATCAATTCCTCTCAACCTTGTTGGCAAGAAGCTTGGCAATAATCATCTTGTAAGAAACATTACAAAGTCTGATAGACCAAAAGTCTGCTAGAGTTGAAGGAGATTGGTTCTTAGAGATTAGCACAACGTATGCGTCATTTATAGAAGTGATTTATCGTTAAAGGCCTTAGAAACAATCTCATAGAGATCCTAGTGTATGATGTTCCAACTGGATTGATTGATACAACAAAACACGTAAACCATCAGGTCCCAAAGCCTTAAGGGCACCCATGGAGAAAACTACATGTTTAATCTCCTATAATGAGGAGTACATTGACAACATGGGTGAACAAATTATCATGATTAATCAAATATTCAACCTCTTCCGAGGTGAAGAGAGATTGAAAGTAAATTGGTAAGATACCTCATCAGCATCTATGGTCCAAGAAGAATCCTGGCATTGAAGAGTGATGATCTGGTTATGGGCTTTCCTTCTCTTGACATGGAAAATGAGTATTAAGGTGTCCAGCCAATCATGGGCCCAATAAATTTTGTCCATTTCAACAAGGTTTCCCTTACTTGGAAATGAGGGCCCACTCTTCCTGGATGGAAGCTTACGAAGGAGCAAGAACTTGAATAATTTCTAGCTGGTGAGAAATTTCAACCATACAAACTTTCAAACTGCCTATAACTGTTTCATTCCAATTCTTAAGGTGAGATTTGCAATTAGGGAAATCTATGGTTTGACACCCTCAAATTTTTATTGAATTTCTGGTTTTATTTTCCCAAACCCCCATCTATGATAGGTACCCTTTCTTGTATTTTGATAGCCTGTCACTGATTTCAATTGTAAGGTGAAGGAATCAATGGAAACCTCTTGCAATAAAGGAATGCCCACTCTGATAGTTTCTCAGGCTTGCTTTGAAAAGCTTCAAATCTAACAACAGAAGGGTGGGTGCAATGCTTGACCATGTTAGGAGTGATAAGAATCAGGCAGTGCTCACTTGCAATACAAGAGAGGTGATTCACCTGAGCTCCACCAATACACTCTCTAACTAGGAATTGCATATCACACTTGTTAGACCAAGTATAAGCTAGTGTCCTACATTCATCCAAGCTCGATTAACCCCCTAGTATTTGATCAAATTTGTGAAATATAAGTGTGACAATAAGGTTTGGTAAAAGGATGATGTAACACACAATAAATTGTTCCAAGTTAAGTTTTTGGCAGACTTGAATGGGCAGCCCTAAAAACCAACCATAGTCCAAGACTGTCTAGGCCAGGGCAAATAATATCAGTCACAATGAAGTTGTTAGATACGCCGAGAATTTTCACATTGATATCAGAACACCATAGTAACTATAAACCACCAGCAATAGCAGCACAGGGAACCACATGATAAAATCATAATTGTGGAATTCATTTAACAACTTTGCGGATTTTTTAGTAGAAGACTTAGGGGCTGTTTTGTACTGTGGTCTTTTATTTTAATAAATATTTTATACTTTTTATCTTGAAAAACAAGAGAGTGGTTGATAAACATTTCTTGTTCAATGTTGTTTGACAGCTAGGCGCCATATAAGCTCGACAGTAAATAAATGAATGGTGTTGGGGCAACATTAAAAATGGTGTTTCCTCTAACGGTTAACTCTCACACAAATTGAGAAAACGTTTATTTAATAAATAATATTACCAAATAATGATGTTTCCCCAATGCCTATATGGCGAAGACCTGGCATTATTTTTCAAATAAACAGCCACAGAACCAAACACCATCTTAGCCTTATCACATGCTTGATGTTGAGAGTCTTGAGACTACGAACATGAGAGGGCCCACCTCGGCCAACAATAGAAGTGGTTGCATGCTTTTGCGCTTTGGGCTTACAAGCAGCTCCCCAATTTTCCTGGTGCTAAAGATAAAGGTTGTGGGATTTCATCCAGCTTTAGTGGGAGTCTCATTTTCTGAGCTGGAGAAAGCATGATAATAGGCTTCCCTTGGGTCCCCATATATGTAAGAGCTGAAATCTCAGGCATAGGGGAATTTCTAGAGGGTAAGGGTTAGCTGAGCGTGTTGGCTGTTCAGCACAATAATAAAATACATGAAACCCACACCTTTGCCATGAATTTATTACTAGCGTGGAATATTATTATTGGTTCAACAGCCCGTTAAACAGCCATCACATTTAGCTAATCCCAATTAATTTCTAGAACCCACGAGTTCCAGATTACTCTCATTGTGGGCAAGAAATCTAGGGTGGTGCGATTGACCAGAGGTGTTGTCGTCGAACCCCATTTCACTGAAGGCCAACTTCCCACTAACTCTTGTGCAGTTGTATGCTCGATCGCTTCTAGGGTGTCATTCAATCTCAGTGTAGATTGAGAATCACAACTCCCACCAGATACTCCACTTGGATTTTAATATTAGCCAGATGCAGTTGGTATTGCAAAATGGTTCCTGGTAGCGACCAATTTGGCTGGGGTTTGGACCATGATGCAAGAGTTATAGTGAATGTGAAGGAGAGCTTGGAGTTGGTCCTTTACTATCCACTGGGGTTTTAGGAGTAGTTGTAGCTGGTATATGTTGCAAAATGGTTCCTGATAGCCATTGGTTTGGTTGAGGCTTAGACCTTGATGTGAGAATTGTAGTGAACACGAAGGAGGGTGAGAGTCTAGACTTGGTCCTTTACTATTGGATCCTTAATTAGTATTGGAAATGGCATAAGAAGATCCAATTTCAACTTGCAAACCTCCATTTCATGACCTAGTTTGCCACAAAAGAAACAAAAGGCTCAAAAAGTTTCTCATTGAGAGTTCAACATCAATGGAATGAATCACTATTGATGTCAAGGTGTTAGGTGAGGACCCTGAATAGTGGCTATGTATTATTTATTTTGCAAATCGATGTAAAAAACTACTTAAAATCCGCTATCACTAATTTTTGCAGTTTCCATTAAAGAAAGCATCTCAAGGATATTCCCTTTGTTTGTCAAAGTAGTAAATCCTACAACAAATTAACAATGATCAACAGTCCGAATACCATCTTAATTTGCTCCAGCATGCCCAGTTATTGGCCCAAGAAATACCTTACTAGTTGACATGCCAACAGCAAACAAATTCGATACTTGGCATATAGTATCATTAATACGTCTAGGAACTAGGGTGTCCATGGAAAACCAAAAAAACCAAACTGAACTGAGAAAATTGAATCAGAAAATGTAGTTAATCGAACCAAACTGATCGATTCGGTTTTGATTTGGTATTTTTGGAAAACTGAAGGATCAGTTCAATTTTCGGTTAACCTACAAAAAACCGACAGTTAACTGAGCCAATAGGTATATATATATTAATATATGTCACATATTTTATATATATATATATATATATAAATATATACATATATTATATTTATAATATATTATATATCATTTATTATTTATAATATAATATTA